GGTCCGGCTAAGATAGCCGGCAAGAATTACTTTCAAAAATGTAGCAATTAACTTTTCTTAGTTAGTGAGGTGTTTTATTTTCTTTATAACAAATAAATGAGTTTTATTAGAAACTTTTCCTCGTGTTTCTTTTCAGAATATTGCAACTTGGAATAAGCCACGATCCATCTCCTCTAAACCAGGGTAATTAGTCCCAGAGCCAAACATGGGATTAATAAACACCCTGACAATCTTCCTCCATGAGGACAGGCTCTGGCGCAGAGCCCTCATCCGAGCCTTCCCCAGACTCCAGGACTGGTCCATGTTCCTCCCCAACCTCCTCACTGTCCGAATCTGCTGCCAGCTCTGCTGGCCGCTAGCAGGCCACAACATATCTAAGGAATTCTTACCAATGGTTGTTTTACTATTATACAGTTGGATTCCTGCTACCAATAGCTGCACAGAGTTGATTCATCCATAGCATAAAAGAACTTTATAAAATTAACAAAAATATATTTTAGGCTGCTTGTGAGAACAAAATCTATCTTACAGCCACTTATGTAATAAAATTACAAAAAAATAGTAACATAGAAAAAATAATAGAAGCATTCGGAATCAATGCATCCAGCAAAACACCCCAAAGATCCAGAAATAAATCTTGTACATAATTACAGCAACTCTTCAAAGAATACCTCAGTAAACACAATCAAAAAGAGAGAAAGGAAAGCAGATAGGTCTTCATAGCTTTCCTGAAAGCCAGAAATGCAAGGATGAATTACAATCTGGGAGCATCATGTTGCCTATACCTACCATTGCATTATGTCCAATTACTTCCCTTTAAGATGTGGGGTTATGATGTTACAGGTCTTACTGGCTTCAATCAAAAAGTAATAAAAAACAAAAGGTAATCAAAAAGTCAAATACTGCTATCTTAAAGGGATACAAAGAAATCAAGAAATCACCATAAACATTTCTTAACTCTTCATGAGAAGTTTGCAATTCACCTACACAGTGAATTGATTGACACCCCACAGTGTGGGATAATAATTAGGATTGGCACAAGGGAGATCTGTTCAAATACTGACAGGTGACTCTAGGTTAGTCCCTATTGCTCAGCCCAACTTACCTTATAGGGCTGATGCTATGTGGGAAAACTGGGAGAAAGGATTATAACTTGGTAAACTGAGAGATGTTAAAGTAATAAGTAAATAAATTCCTTAACAAAGAGTTTTGCTTATTTTTTAAAGTTTGCTTGATTTGGGTCAAAGTACTGTGAAAATTTAATAACCTGATTTGGCAGGGGCAGCATTCTAGTTTGGATCTTTTACTTTACTAAAGGGTGACATACATAGAAAATTGTAATATGACAAAGGTAAACAGCATTACAAATAATATAAAAAATGAGCAATCCTTTCCCTCTTGGGAAAATGGGTTCATCCATGGTATCGTAACCTGCAGAGATGATTGCGATGAAGGTGAACTTAGGAGTCAGAAGCGGCAACATTTCTTCCAAATTTATTTTGAGTATAAATACAGTTTAAAAATTCACCCCAAGAATAAACACAAAATTCTTATGCTGACGTGGTCTATCCTCTTCTTGGTAACATAATTTGCTGGGAGGCATAATTATATTTTCTTTTGTACATTTACTCACAGGACCATTAGGCATCCTCAGTGGATGGTCAAAACAGTCAGATGGCAGCTACCACTGGACAATTTAACCCACACTCTTTTTTACATCCATAACACATGCAACATATGTACAAAAGGGTTGTATATATAGGGTTGTACACACATGGTACATGTGGTATATACATATGGCTTCAGCCATTTTCTTGACTTTTTAAAAACCTCCTCACAGATACTCCTGAACTAGCTGATTACAAACAATTAAAACCACATTTAAAAATAACATTATACAAGGACCCCCAATGTTCTTTTAAAAGGATTCTGGTGGCTATATTTCCTTTGCTTTGTTTGTTGCCTCTTGTTCTGACCTAGGCCTCCCAAAAGAACGAAGCCAATTCCTCGTCCCGATAAAACCCCTTTTATTTAGTTTAAGGGGAATTCCTCTCCAGCAAAGTCCCGGCCAACAGACTTTCCAGAGATTTCACAACTACAGACCTTTATCAGGCTTGGAAAGCTGCCAGGCCAATATCTTCCAAATGCCACTCTGTAGCAGACAAGACTTGGCAAGAAGTCAGGAACAGATCTTTACTCGAATGAATTTAACTACCATATTTTTCAGACTATAAGGCACACTTTTTTGTCTCCCAAAAAGGGGTGAAAATGTCTGTGCGTCTTATAGCCCAAATCTTGCTGAAGTCCCGCCCACCCACCAGCTGGTTTTTTGGCCTCTGCACACTGCATTTTTGGGCCTTTTTCCGGCCTTTTTCCAGTCTTTTTTCGACCCATTTTCAGGGCTTTTTTTCATCCTGTTTGTGAGGCTTTTTTTTGGCCAATTGTTTCGGGAAAAGCGGCCTGAAAAAAGCCTAAAAATGGGCCAAAAAAAGCCTTGTCTCTTGTCTCCTGCAAACTCCCCTCCCTTTCGCTCCTCTTTATTCCCTATGGGAGGGGCCTTTCACCGTCCACCTGTGGCTTTACTCGACCCTTGTTCCTTAGCTGTTCCCTTCTCCTGGCAGCTCTGCGCATGTGCACACTGAGAACAAGCTCCAGCTGTTCTTCTGCCCCACTGATGTCTGACTCTGAAGATAGCTGAAAATTGTCAGACGGCCCTGGCCCCATCTCTGCCTCTGATGCAGAGCACCCATCAGAGCCTTACCCAGACACCAGGACTGGCTCATGTTCCTCCCCAACCTCCTTACTGTCTGAATCTGCTGCCAGCTCTGCTGGCCGCTGGCAGGCCACAACACTTCTTCTCTCTTCTCTAATGTATCAGTTCCCTTCCTTATAAGTAAATGTCTGGAAATCCTTTCCTTCTTTCAGTAGATAGTAACTATTAGGGACACACTGTTCACAAGTATGGAGGAACAGAAGAGAGATGTGCCTATTCATGACCCAGGCTTAATCTTATTCTTGGTTTCTGGGTATGTAAGAGAGTGAGAACTAACAAGGCATACCTTACCCACTCACCAGACATGTTTTTCTACAGTGGCAAAAAAAGACTAATAGCAATAGTACTTAGACTTATATACTTAATCTTATTCTTGGTTTCTGGGTATGTAAGAGAGTGAGAACTAAGCAAGGCATACCTTACCCACTCACCAGACATGTTTTTCTACAGTGGCAAAAAAAGACTAATAGCAATAGTACTTAGACTTATATACTGCTTTACAGTGCTTTACAGCCCTCTCTAAGTGGTTTTACAGAGTCAGCATACTGTCCCCAACAATTTGGATCCTCATTTTACCCACCTCGGAAGGATGAGCCTGGTGGGATTTGAACTGCCAAATTGCAGGCAGCCTGCAATCAACAGAAGTAGCCTGCAGTACTGCACTCTAACCACTGCGCCACTGAGGCTCAGGTACCAGCCTTCTGGTACCACCCTTTCCAACTAACAAATTTTAATTACAAGGTATAAGATTTCATGAACTGTAGTTGATTTCATCAGATTTACCACCTGTATTTTTGCTCCTGTAGTGCCCACCTATTTTTCCTTCATCATATGTATGATAAATGTGAGATAGCTTTAGGCAAGCGAAGTACTTCACTCTGTATATAAAGAAATTGCCCTGTTCCGTGAAGAGATTTAAAAGTCACACTGCAAAATCAATGGGTCTGGAAGTCTGAGTACATACAGGTACTCAGTAAATAGGTACATACAAACCTATTTACTACCAATGCTATTTTCAACTTGAAAAGGGACTTTTATCAGCAATAATGAACCTATCATTTGTTAGTGATGTACATTTTCTTCAGCCTGGAACAAAGTTGCCTAAACCTGTATAAAAGCTGTTCCAATCCCAAATGGCACCTAGATTCTTAATTACCTTAGCCAGGTGGCTCACAAATTCCTTTTCACTGCTCTTAGGCATTGCATACAAAATTAATTGATTTCTGAGAGCTCAACTGCAAAGGAAGGAGCTAGTTCTAAAGTGCAGAAAGGAAAGAATTGGCTAAATGGTAAATTAATTTACCACTTTTATCATGTAAGTTGCTTTTGCTCTTAGCTGGCGGCCAGAAGAGCACACTGAGGGGAGGTAAAGCTTCTATTAATAAAATGGGTATCAAATAAGAATACTCAGAAGAATACCCTTAGAGGAGAAGAAAAAGAAATAGGCTGCAAGGAACAAAGCTGTCAGGTTAAATTTACTGATATCCAGTATTTGGGCCCAAGGATTTATCTGGGGCAGGATTTCACTGTAGATACTTACCTACAAATAGAACAAAAAATTATAGCTCAGGATTGAACTGTGGGAACCTTGGTGTTGTCTAAGCTTGGTTGTTTTCTTGAAGATGTTTCATTACCAAACTAGGTAACATCATCAGTGTCCAAACAAACAAGCTCAGAGAGCACTAATGACTCTACTTACCTAGAAAAACACAGCAGTTCTGAAAAATACATGACCATTCTTGGAAGGAGATCAGTGGAGTTCCCAGAGTTGAGGGACCCATAGGAGAATTCCCTGGATGGTTCTACCTCACTGCCTCTCCCACTCTGGAGTAGGAATTAGTCTCCTTAATTCTTTCCCCATGTATACCTCCATAAGCATTGGGGTGAAGGCAGTGCTCACACACTGTGCAGGTAACTGCTATTCAATAGAACAAGTAACAGTTACATCAAGACAAAATTGAATTTCTCATCCAGTTTGCCCTACTGTACTGAATTCTTTTGCAGCCAGTTTTCCAAACTTTAGGGAGAATATAGACACTCAAAGAATATTAGGGATTATGTCATTTTAAAGTCATTTGGAGTTTTGCAGCCTGGATAAGATAGTCTTAGAATTTGATAGGCTTAGCAACCCAAAACCTAACAATAAAGATGCCACGATGTACGCCTGCCCTGAACATCAAATCTTAAGCCGATTCTAACCCTCCTTCTCTATTTCCTTCCTTCCTAGATTTTGGCCCAGCAACTCAAAGCTGAAGAACTCAGCTGGTGACAAGCAACTCATCTGCCACCAATGGAGAGGCATCTGCTGCATTAAAGCAAATTATCTGGAAAGAGAGTACACAGTTTATGGCTGGCCTTTCTGTTTTTTTCTGTGTATATTAGCAACATAGCTGACACAGAAGAGATATACTGCTCTTAAACCTATTTCTGTCTCTGTACTAAAACATGGCTAATCGTATTTTAGATTCTACTCGCATTCATGGAATTCGTGGAAGATGGTATATATGAGTACATTTAAGAAGACTGACAGGTTTCCCTGCAGCTACTTCTGCCTTCCCCTTTGCAATCAAACCTAAAAGAACTGATCCTAACAGATTAAAGGCCAACATCTCTCTGTCTCTCTTGGCAACTTAAAAGTAGCCACCACAAGGGAGGAAGGGACTGTGCTGTATAGTTTGGCAGAATATAAATGACTCTTTCTGAAGAGCTTTTGTGGATTGATTTAACAGGCAGATCAAGCCAGACTCTTTTTAGTCCTGCGTGTAAGTAATTATGTTGGCAAAGTCGGGAGAGAATCTGCAAAAGTGCAAGACAGTGTTTTTCTGACTGGGAATTCTGAGAGTTGAAGTCCACACCCCTTAAAGTTGGCAAGTTTGAAAAACATTGGGGTAGGGCAGAGATGGGTTTCAGCAGGGTCTGATCAGTTCTGGAGAACCGGTAGCAGAAATTTTGAGTAGTTCGGAGAACTGGTAGTAAAAATTCTGACTGTCCCTGCCCCCATCTACTGTATTCTCTGCCTCTTGAGTCCCAGCTGATTGCAAGGAAATGTGAATTTTGCAGTATCCTTCCCCTGGAGTAGAGTGGGAATGGAGATTTTACAGTATCCTTCCCCTGCCATGCCCACCAAGCCACGCCCACCAAGCCATGCCATGCCCACCAAGCCACACCCACAGAACCAGTAGTAAAAAAGTTTGAAACCCACCACTGGTGTAGGGCATGGGTCCACAACCCCCAGTCTAGGAACTGGAACTGGTCTGCAGCATGCCAGCAACTGGGCTGTGCAAACAAGCGAAGCCCCATCCACGGATGCAGGCAGCACACAAAACCAGCTTCCCTCTGGTCTGCGGAAAACCTTTTCTCTACGGAACCAGTCCCCAGTGCCCAAAAGGTTGGGGACACTGGTATAGGGAATAGAGCTTTTGTGGAAAAAATAAGAAACACTTGTATTCTGGAAGACATTCATATTATTACTTTCTTTTATTTATTTATATCCTGCATTTATAACTTTTATATAAAAGATAGCAAAAATTCCTAATACTCCTTCTTCCTCCTATTCCTGTTGTGACCCAGGCCCAAGTAAGTAGTAGTCGACGCAAACAGTTCCAAAACAAACAGACTTTATTAGAACAGCTGAGAATTAACTCATTCTCAGCGTAGTCCAAACTAAATTAAAACAAACTCTTCATAACACAAATTCTTCAGTCTAATCACCAATACTTAGCCAAACTGCCAAAAGCTTCTCTTGACAAAAGTTCAGAAGCAAAAGACGCCAACCAGAGATAAGTGCAGCAAGACAACAAATCTATCAACGTTATTTTCTGACAAAGAGCCCAAGAGCGGTTGCTGGTCTTTTAAGCCTTATAGGAGGGGCCAATCATCTCTTGGCCCTATTCCCGAGTCGTCCTCTATACTGTAGCTGCTCTTGCCTTCTGGCAGCTCTTCTCATACATGCATTAGGAACAGGCTCCGCCTGTTCCTCTGCTTCTCTACTGTCAGCCTCTGGAGGCTCCGGAATCTGCACCTCTCTCCCTGATGGCCCTGGCCCCATCTCTGCCTCCGATGCAGAACCCTGATCCGGGTCTTCCCCAGCTTCCAGGACTGACCCATGTTCTTCCTCAGCCTCATTGCTGTCCAACTCTGCTACCAGCTCCGCAGGCTGCTGGTGGACCACAACAATTCCCCATATAGCAACAGCCCTGTAAGCTGAGTTGGGCTGCAAGAGAGTGATTGGTGGCCCAAAGTTATCCAGCTGGATTTCATGCCAAGGTGGGACTGGGAAGTTGTTAACCTGGTGCCTTAACCAATAGACCAAATATACACAATATTAACCTCTGCTTTTCCGTGTATATACCTCAGATTTGGGGGGGGGTGCTTCTTTTTCTTCCAAAAGCAGTAGACAACTCATCAAAGCAGTTTGGAGTATTTTCTATATTGTCTTCAGTTTTCTTCTTCTGGGTGTTTTAGTTACATTTTAGTTTGCTTATCTCTGCTGCTATCTATTTTGTGCATTTGCTGTCTTTGCTATCTCTTTATATTTTAATGACTATTAATTTATTTATAAAACATATTATCTATGCTCGCAGGCACGCAAGGGCATAAAGTATCCAGATTTATTTATAAAAGCCGACCCTTAGTAGCTCTTCCACACGATGCTTCATGTTGCCTGGGGTTTGGGGACAAATTAAGGTAACATAGGTAAAACATTTAAAAGTAATAGAAAAGACATTGTGGAAATAGATTTCAATTTAAAAGAAAAGAAAGGAATATGCTCCAAATTATTCCAGATGTCTTAAAAGCTTTACACCTCACAATAAAGTATGGCTTTCATAACCACAGTTTCTTGAATATATCACAGTTGGCTGACTCTGTCCAACATAACATGTTAAGTTGAGTAATTTTTTACAAATCAAGGGCTGGTGGGGGAATCCTCCATACAGGGGTCTCCAACCTTGGCAACTTTTAAGACTTGTGGACTTCAATTCCCACAAAGCTGGCTGAGGAATTCTGGGAGTTAAAGTCCACAAGTCTTAAAAGTTGCCAAGGTTGGAGACCCCTGCTCCATGAACACAGGAGTTGATGACATTGAGTGGTGGGCAGAACTGGACAATCAGAGACCCAACCTTTTTTTCTATGCATGCGGTGTAATGTGATGCATGTTAAGACTTCAACTGCCAGTCACATCTGCTATTTGGGCATGACACATTCACTTACTCACACATACACACACACCAAATACTCTTGAGTTTGCACTAGATGCTAGGTGATGTGAGAACTCATCAGATGCTGCCAAACTTTACCTGCATTCTCTAATCAAGTTTCCATTTCCTTGGAAAGATAAGCAGGCAAACGTTTGCTGAAGAACTGTCAAAACAACACATTAAATATACATTAGAGATGTGTGGTAACCACCCCCAAGATATTAACGTCTTCTCTATTAAGGTATTAAATTACTTTGTAACAAGAAGAGATTATTTTAGAAAATGCACGCAGAGATGAGAAGAATGGTCTTGGCTTGTTTATACCTCAATGTTGCTAAGCATCAACTGCTTAAAAATATTCACTTAACCATTTTTCATTGAAGTGGTATAAGCACATACTGTATTAATTTTGACAGCATTCTTGAGATTGTTGTTTAAGTTGTATTTTTATCGAGCACTACAATTTTTAAGTTTGCTTCAAATTTTACATGTTAAGACATTTATTAAGTGTTTTAGGGATAGATCTAGAATACAGAATTGCAATGAGCTCTGTAATGTACACAGATGTACAAAGGAGAGGCAAGTGGCATAGAGGCAAAGATGTTCCAGGATCAGGGGGCTCAAGTTCAAGTCCACTTGCAGCCTTTTTGGAGATGCAAGATTGAGGGAATCAAACCCATAGTTAATAAAAAAGATGACCTGGATAGAGATAAGCCAGATCTGTTCCCAGAGCAGGCAGAGATGGAGCATCAATCCTGACAGACACCTCCATTGTTTCACAGGAAGATAAGCAGAAGGGGGAAGTAAAGCAGTCAAGCTTGCAAGACTCTGTTATAATATTCTATCGTAATAAAAGCAGTGTGGTACTTCCCTTGGTTTGGTCTACATTGCAGGGCTGACAAAGCCGGGAGATTAGAGAAGTTCATTGGGTATGAGAAGAGGCACTTTAACCCAGGGGTGGAGGAAGTTGATTCAAAGAGACCCCATCTTAATTGGCTGACTATAATCTGAGTGAGGGCTTACTTTTATAGTTTCAGGACTTTGTTTTTATTCTTGCTAGCATTAAAGATGCTAACCAGGATGAAATTTGTGTGGCTTTCAACAGCTACTTGATGCTTGACACTTTGTGACTTTGGGTCACTCACTCACTATTAGCCTAAATCAATCTAATAGGGTTGTTGTTGTTGAGAATAAGTAGAGAATCATGCCACCTTAACATCCTAAAGGAAAAATAGATATAAATCTAACAAAGAAGTAGATTACATAGGCAGGAAACAAGGTTTATCTACAGCACTGATTGATACACTGAGTTATTCCACTGGGAAACCAATTTTGTTCCTTTCCACTGTAGCAATTCCTACAGTAATTTTTAGCAACCCCCTCCAAGTCTTCTATCTGCAGCAGTATATGAATATTATTTGATCACATTGCTAATTGATACTTAGTCCCATTTTCCTTTTATAGTTCTTAACATTTAAATGCTCTTTCTGTAAAGATATGTATTATGTTCCCACCTCATTATTAACTTATTTGACTACAGTTTCATCATTGTATTACACACACAATTTGACACTATTCAAAAGAATTTTTCAACAAATTTTGAAACTAAAAATTGAAATTGAAAGAAATGTTGCAGGTTAGCATTTCTCTTTGTATAGAAGGAAAGAAGGAAATCAGCTCCATTGCTACAGAGAAGAATGTTATCTCATAAATATTGCTTAAGAATTATGTGGAAATATACATTTTGGCAAATAGTTTCCTTAACAAACAAACTGGCCCAGTCCACTGCTTGACTTCAATAATTTGTTCTGATTTTTTTTTTAGTATTCTGATTTTTTTTTTAAATCAAAGCAATCGTCTTTGATCACATAGGAAATTTGATCAGTGAAGTTTATTTCTGTGAAGTTTATTTCTATTCCATTAATACCTAATGGGTGCATTTATATTCTTTTAAATCAAACATCAGCTTTTGTTTTGTTAATGTATCTTCAAGGAGGTGAAATTATATCCTGGCCTGATTCACTCAGCAGATTGTCTTTCTTTCTTTTTTCTTTTGCTATAGTAGTCAAAATATTACTGAAATGCTATTATTCTAAGCATATTAACTTGAAACAAGACATTTGAAATAAAGAACAAT